GAAGAGGAAGATTCTGTACGTGGTCTTCCAAATTAAATTATTTTTTTAAAAAAAGAGAAAGAGAGCTCTGCACACATACTGAGGAAAGGCTATGTGAGCTCACTGTGAGAAGGTAGGACTCTACAAGCCGGCAAGAGAGCCCTCACCAGAATCCAGCCATGCTATACCCTGCTCTGAGACTTCCAGCCTCCAGAACTGTGATAAAATTTTGTTGTTTAAACCACACAATCTATGGTATTTTGTTCTGGCAGCCCAAGCCAACTAAGACAGCATCATTGCTGTCACTTACAGACAAGAAAACTAAGACTAGGAGAGATAAAAGTTAAACTTGTCCAAGGTCACAAAGACCAGAAACAAGTGAGGTGAGAAGTTGACCTTGTTCTCCTCAATCCCAGGTCAGGACTCTTCAACTCCACATGTAGATAGCCACCTCACAGTCAACAGCCAAATGTCCCCAGAGTCAGCATTAGACCAAGATGTCTCACCAGGAGAGAAATGCCTCATCTTGAATAAATATATTCTAACAACTTACCCATGTAAAACATTGAACCTCATGAAAAACAAAAATGCAAAGTATGTACAAAACTGTTTACCACTTAACTGACAGTGATATAAAGCTTAATGATATCCTTATAGTCTTGGAGGGGTTTGTATGTGTTGAAACAGGTGCTCATGCACTGCTGATAGACTGTAAATTGGTCCTAGAGAGAAAAATAAATACACTGGAAGGAGATATGCTGTATGTTTACTTTTTTTTAATGGAAAGATATGAGATATACCTGGAAATTTGATTGGCCATGCATCTGTTTCTTCAGTGGGTATGCACAGTTGAGCTGTTCCCATGTACCAGGCACTGTAATGGGACAATTGCACATGACAGACAAAAATTTTAGCCTTATGAAGTCGACATGCTCATGGAGAGGTGCCACCCACTAAACTAATATTTATATATCAATTATGGATACATTGGGCCACATTTTGCAGAAATTCACTTACAGTGGATTAGCCAGAAAGGGATTTGTTTTTCTCAATTGGCAAGAAGGCTAGGGTGGTTTGTTGGGGGCTGTCAGGAGCTGTCTAGGCTGCCCAAGTATGCAGGTCTCTTCTATCATCCTGTGTTAGCTATCTTCCATATCGCTTTCAACCTCATGGTCATCTGCAGCATGTCTAGGGGTCATATCTATGTTCCATGCAGGAAAAAAGGCTAAAGGCAAAGGGAAGTAGGCATGTACCATCTTAATTCACACCTTGGTTTTCAGAAAATTTAACAAGAAAGACTTTCTGCTTTTTTCTGACTATTCTGTATTCTGGATTACAATGCAAGAGAAACATCACCTAAATTCTAATGTTTTTCTCTCCTTGCTTTTGAAAACTGACTCACTAGCCTCCAAGTGGCTTGGAAAAATTATTTCAGTCATCCAGTAATGAGCTGTTCATAGAAATGTTTTGGACATCAGTCTGTGTTGTTAGCATTATACATGTTAAGCATAGATTTAAAAAACAACACGATGTGGGTACATTTCTATACTTACATATAAGTGCTTATATACTTAGAGCTGAAAAGAGAGGTTGAAATGTCAGGTGGAACAGAAATAAGATTACCTAGATGTTTCCCCTATGGGTGATTTTCAGCTATGTTAATCTTTCTTCCAGGTCAGGTACTTGCAGAACTTCCTAATTAAATGGTGGCCTTGATGTTAGTTCCCCTCTCCTCTTAGACATTTTCCAGGACTACAGAAGATGTGCAGTTTATAAATGAGCAGCAGAAACCTACTGAGCAAATTATTCAGGTTCATCTGAACAGAGAGGACACCCTCTTTGCTATACTCTCTCAGTGATTTCAAGACACCCTGCCTTGAAATCCTGGGTCAATTATTGTCTTGGACGTTGATTTAAGCACAAAATAATTGTTGTCATTGCTTATGTTTGGATTTTATCTCCCAAAATAGATAAATTCTTTAGAGACCAAATAATACTTTAAAAAAATTTTTTTTATTGTTTTTGTTTCTGTGTCTCTCAGCCCTGTAATAGCACCATACTTGCACTTCGTAGATTTTTAGAGACAACTTTTACAAAACATGGAATTATCTACATACCCTTTCTACAAAACAGACAAATTAAATACTCAGTAGTTGAACAAAAAAAAGCAGTTCAAATAAAATACTTTGAAAATGAAGAAATCATTTGAACAGAGAGTTAAGGTTAATGGTAAAATAATGTGTGAAAATTATTGCGAATCAAATATGAAGTTCAAAAATAGTTCTTGAAAAAGGAAGAATCGTATGGAAAGGGAGTACTTGTTTTAAAAATGTTAGATATCAGGAAAAGCCAAGAAGTGAGTATGGTAAGAGTGCTGTCAAGTGAAATCCTGCTGATCTCACTGAACATGTAAAAATCTGTAGATGCCTTTATTTTATTCACTCTCATACATATGTAGAAAGAGAAATATATGGTAAACATTAAAAAAAACTAGAATGTAAAATTAATACTTTAAAAAATGGGCTGTATACTTTTCTTGTCACCAGAGATAAGAATTTATTATTTTTAAAAGAGAATAGTTATTTTCTTTGTGACTGTTTCCATGACTTTGCTACTTAGAAGTTAGAGATGCCAAAGTTTATCTAAGAAAATGTTTATGGAAGTATGATTTCAATAATGAATGTTTAGAAGACTGAATTTCCTGACTGGGCACAGTAGCTTATGCCTGTAGTCCCAGCACTTTGAGAGGATGAAGAAAGAGGATTGCTTGAGTCCAGGAATTCAAGACCAGCCTGGGCAACACAGCGAGGGCAAGTCATGTGACATTCCTGTGCCTCAGTTTTTTCACCTATAAACTGAATTCCTACAGTTTTGGGGGAGGGGAGAAAAACTTAGGATAGTGACTGGCACAAGAGAAGCACTATATACAATATATATGTGGATATCGTTTGTTTTTATGGTACCTTATTAGCTATCTAATGCAAAGTATGAATCATTTTTTTCTGGGTCTTAAATTACGGAATGTAAGAATTTTCTAAATTCTCTAATTCTGTGTTAGTTTTAAAGCAATGGAGTAACATATCTGTCAACTTGTAAATATGGATCAACCTGATCCACAATTTGACCCCTAGCCACTAATATTTACTGGTACAACACTCAGAAAATATCAAAGGTCAGAGAAGCCAAACAAATGTAAAAACATACAGGTGCTCAGAAATATATACCTGTAATCTCTCTAAAGAGAAATATTTTCCAAACTGAGTGACACAGTGCTTTAGTGAGTTGTGAAATCAATCTCATGATTTCCAAGCCAGTGTTCTTTTAAAAATGAACTAGTCCACAATAGAATATACTAAAGTGCTGGTGTTTTCCGAAAAAAAAAAAATTTTTTTTTTTGAGACAGGGTCTTACTCTGTTGCCCTGGCTAAAGTGCAGTGGCACGATCATGCTCACTGCAGCCTTGACCTTCTGGGCCCAAGTGATTCTCCCACCTCAGCCTTTTGAGTAACTGGGATCACAGGTACATGCCACCACACCCAGGTATTTTTTTAATTGTAGAGGTAGGGTCTTGCTATGTTGTTTAGGCTGGCCTTGAACTCCTGGGCTCTAGTGATTCACTAGCCTCAGCCTCCCAAATTTATGGGATTATAGGTGTGAGTCACCTTACCTGGCCTGTTTTCTGAATTTTTTTTTTTTTTTTTTTCAGGTGTTTGTGCATATGTGTGTTTGTATGGGTATAACAGAGAGAGAGAAAGAAACTTTTCTACCTCACTTTGCAATCAGAAGTTTGAAGTCTTATCTTTTGACTTTTGTTTCAGAAATATTTCAAATGTAGACTCTCTCCTTTACCACACTGTCCCCTTAGGCAAGATCTTTGCCATGTTTCTGAGACTATTGCAGCAGACTCCCAACCTCTGACTGTGGGCCCTTCTCAATAATGATTGTTTATGTAATAAATCTAAACCCAAGACAACTACAACGATACAACAAATTACGTGCTTAAAAACTTCCAATGTCGGCCAGGTGTGGTGGCTCAGGCCTGTAATCCCAGCACTTTAGAGGCAGAGGCGGGCAGATCACCTGAGGTGGGGAGTTCGAGACTAGCCTGGCCAATATGATGAAACCCCATCTCTACTAAAAATACAAAAAATTAGCCAGACGTGGCGGTGGGCGCCTATAATCCCAGCTAATTGGGAGGCTGAGGCAGGAGAATTGCCTGAACCTGGGAGGTGGAGGTTGAACTGAGCCGAGATCACACCACTGCACTCCAGCCTCGGCAACAAGAGCAAAACTCTGTCTCAAACAAAACAAAACAAAACAAAACAAAACAAAACAAAAACTTCCAGTGTCTACCAAATGTCTCACACAAGTATTTGGGGATCTTCACAAAACGGCCCTTATGGAGTTTTCCTTTGCTGAGACCCTAGGCTGTGACCACAGTAAACTCACTCAGCATCCCAGAAAGGCCTTGGCCTTTGTGAGCAATCTCTTATCTCCAGGCCTCTCACAAAGACCTGTTCCAGTAGAAGCTCAGGGGAGCATAGTGGACATTATTCCAACAACCCTTTCCCCACAGCTATGCAGCCAAATCTGCCAGCTCAGTTAATTAATTAATTAATTAAGCAATTCAGAGATGGGGGTCTGCCCAGGCTGGACTATAGTAGCAACCTCAAACTCCTGGGCTCTAAGTGATCCTCTTCAGTCTACCCAGAAGCTGGGACTGCAGGCATGTGCCATCACACCCAGCTATGTTTTTTTTTTTTTTTTTTTCTGGTAGGGACCAGGTCAACTTAGTCTTGAACTCCCGGCCTCCAGCCTCTGGAAGTGCTGGGATTATAGGCATGAACCACTGCACCCAGCCAACCTGCCCAGTCTTGTTAGACATGGGGTCTGTAGTTTCCAGTAGGTTCTTGAGTCTAGGGTTCCTACCTCATGTTTTATAGTTAATTTAGGGGAGGGGCTGTGTTGGTTTATCTGGGGAGGTAGGGGTGGGCAGGGGGATAGAGGGGACTTCAATTAATGAAACCATAAGCAAAACTCAGTTGACGACACCGGTCATGAGAGTGGCCTGATTATGGCCAATCTTACGTAATGTGTGAGATCTTGATATTACCCCATCCTTGAGAGTTTTCTATAAAGCTACAGGGACTTAGGAGCACCTTTAATCACAGACAACCCATGTTCCTGTGGATTATGGTTTATTAGATTGCACATGCCTGAATAAAGACATCCTCTGCAGTCTTTTGACAATTCTATAAGCATTTTGTGACTGCAATTAGACAACTAAGAGATCTGTGTTACTTCCATCACATATATAAATAATTTTAAATAAAAATCATGGCGTGAGTAATTTATGTCCTCTACCGATTTGAAGCTATTCATTTGGAAGACCACTCTGAAGAGATGAAATAAGTCTTCTGCCAAAAATTACTTATTAATTTACAAGGGAAAGGGGAAGTTTTGTTCCTCTCCTTGATTTGACTGAAAATCGAGGGCTTTCTCGAATAGTTTTGGCATCCAGGGTCATTTTTCATTAAAAAGCGAAAAGTCATGTGAAATATGAATCTCCCCAGGTCATTCAGCACTAGACCCTGGGAGATTCTGTACAGAGGGGGTTTGTTATAGTCAACTTTTCCGGGTAAAACAAACACAAATACTCCTCCTCCAAGGGGCGGGGGCGGTGCCTAGGTGATGCACCAATCACAGCGCGCCCTACCCTATATAAGGCCCCGAGGCCCTGTGGCGTTTTACGCTTTTCGCTGGTTATTACATTTAGCGTTTCTCTGCTGTTATGTCTGAAACCGTGCCTGCAGCTTCTGCCGGTGCTGTTCCAGCCGTCATGGAGAAACCTCTAACCAAGAAGAGAGGGAAGAAGCCGGCTGGCTTGACAAGTGCAAGTTGCAAAGCACCGAACCTCTCTGTGTCCAAGTTAATCACCGAGGCCCTTTCAGTGTCACAGGAACGAGTAGGTATGTCTCTGGCTGCGCTCAAGAAGGCACTGGCCGCTGCTGGCTACGACGTGGAGAAGAATAACAGCCGCATCAAACTGTCCCTCAAGAGCTTAGTGAACAAGGGAATTCTGGTGCAAACCAGGGGTACTGGTGCCTCCGGTTCCTTTAAGCTTAGTAAGAAGGTCCTTCCTAAATCTACCAGGAGGAAGGCTAACAAGTCAGCTTCTGCCAAGACCAAGAAGCTGGTTTTATCCAGGGACTCCAAGTCACCAAAGACTGCTAAAACCAATAAGAGAGCCAAGAAACCGAGGGCGACAGCTCCTAAAAAAGCTGTTAGGAGCGGGAGAAAGGCTAAAGGAGCCAAGAGTAAGCAACAGCAGAAGAGCCCAGTGAAGGCAAGGGCCACGAAGCCAAAATTGACTCAACATCATAAAGCTAATATTAGAAAGGCCACATCTAGCAAGTAAAGAGAACTTTCCAGGAGGCCGATTTCGAAAGAACCCAAAGGCTCTTTTAAGAGCCACCCACATTATTTTAAAATGGCGTAACACTGGAAACTTAATTTCTATGACAGTTAACTATAGGTTTAAGTTGTGATACAGCTGAGTTGAAAAGTCTTGAGGTGGGAGAATTCAGTCCAGGATTCAAGACCATCCTGCGCAATATAGCCGGACTACCATCTATGCCAGAGGTCCCCATTTCCCCTGGCCACCCACCGGTACGGTTCTTGTCAGTGGCACGTTATGAATTGGGCCGCACAGCTGAGGGGTGAGTGAACATTAACCACCTGAGCTCCACTGCCTGTTAGGTTAGCTGCAGCATTAGATTCTCATAAGCTCAAACCGTATTGTGAATGGCGCATGCAAGGGAACTAGCTTTCAGGCTCCTTGTGACAATCTAATGCCTGATGATCTGAGGTTGGAGCAGTTTTAGTCTGGAAACCATCGCCCCCAGCCCCTGCATCCCCTCGTCCGTAGTATATTTGTCTTAGACAAAACCAGTCTCTGGTGTCAAAAATGTTGGAGACTACTGGTTTTACAAAAAAGTAAATTAGTAAAGCATGGTTGGCACGCTCCCTTAGTCCCTGTGCCCAGGCTTTTAAGGATACAGTGAGCTATGATCATACTACTTCACTCCAGCCTGGATGACAGTGAGACCTTGTCTCAAAACTTAAAAAAAAAAAAAAGTTAAAAAAGAAAAAGGGCTTCTTGTCAGAGACGTGGTGTATACCTAGAGGTCCAAGAACTACAAAATCTGATGTCCAATCCTGAAAAACTCAATGGTGCACTAGAGTAGGCTTTTACATATAAGAGCATCTAAGTTCTGGAAATGCCAGTGTCAAGGAAGGGAGTGGAGAGCAATTCATCATCCAAACAATTTGCTGATACTTTTATTTTTAAACACAAGTACTACATTCTAGTCTTTCTGTGGTGTCATTATAACTATTGTTTCTTAATATGCTGTCCACCGACTTCAAGGGATCAATAAATAGGAATCAAGGTGTCCCAGAATATGGATTAGGGGAGTTTTTTTTTTTTTTTTTCCATCTATTCATTAACTAGCTGAAATTTAGAATTTTCTTCCATTGAGTGTGACTGATAGAAATAACAAGTTTGTAGGTTATAGTTGTTGCAAGAATCTTGAAAATCGTGCTTGCTTATTTCCAAAGTACTATTATTATTAGATATTTGATATATCAACAAAAACACACTGTCAAGTGGTTTGATAATTATTTTAATATTATTGATCTAATACAGTTGTAACCTTATGAATTACTTTAAGTATCTTATTTATGAAAATAATCTGGGTCGGACGTGGTGGCTTACGCTTGTAACCCCAGCAGTGTGGGAGGCCGAGGCAGGTGGATCACGAGGTCAGGAGATGAGACCATCCTGGCTAACACGGTGAAACCCCATCTCTACTAAAAATACAAAAAAATTAGCCGGGCGTGGTGGCGGGTGCCTGTAGTCCCAGCTAGTCATGAGGCAGAGGCAGGAGAATGGCATGAACCTGGGAGATGGAGCTTGCAGTGAGCCGACTGCGCCACTGCACACACCAGCCTAGGTGACAGAGCGAGACTCCATCTCAAAAAAAAAAAAAAAAAAAGTGTAGGTTTCATCAGACTGCCAGAGGATTCTGAAGACTGAAAAATTTTAAGAATCCAAACCTTAATGAAAATGTTGGAGGCTGCCCAGTTAGGGTCTGAATTCAACCTTCCTGAATCACAAAATTGTTTTAAGTCTCGGGGTCTGAGCTAAAGTACGTTTCTCTTTAAACATAGTTTATTTTAATTTTCCCTTGATTTGTGATTTAGTATTCTTACCGACCATCAAAAATATTCGGTCAATGTTAGTCTATCTTGGACCATGGTATTTCGACAAACTTTGAACAAAGTCCCCTGCAAAACTATGCATTGCATTATTTCACATACATGTATGTTTTCCAGACGGTTCAATAGTACTTCACTTTTCTGAACTTATTTGTATAGTTTGGAATCTTTTTAAAAATTAAGTTGTGTCCTATAATTAGAAACAACTAAACATTATGTTTTAAACTTGTATAGATAAAATCAACCACAGACCTTTCCTGTTTGGATGTAATTGTATTGTTTCCCAAAGAGTTTAGAATTACAAGGATTGTGCAAAAATATGCCTCACTTGCCTGACATAGCAGAGAGCCCTTTTGTCTAAATTCTGTGCCCAGCAATGGACTGTCACCAGATTTTCATCATATACAGTGAGGATGAACAACTGACTTCTCTCAGCAGCTGGCCAGTCTCTCAAGAATATGCGAATCCCTCAAGATGGCTTCCTGCACCTTTGCTCCTTTAGCCTTGTATGTATACAAGGCTAGCATGCCTGGCATACATAAGGTTAAAAACAAAATCAACCAGTTATGGTTCTTCCTCCAGTTCTGAGGATTATTAGACCACATTTTTTTTTTTTTTTTGATGGAGACTCAATCTGTCACCCAGCTGTCACCCAGGCTGGAGTGCATGGAGTGCAGTGGCACAATCTCCGCTCCCTGCAACCTCCGTCTCCCGGAGGGAGAGAGCAGTTCTCTGGCTCAGCCTCCCAAGTAGCTGGGATTACAGGCGCCTGCCACCACACCCGGCTAACTTTTGTATTTTTAGTAGACTGGGGTTTGGCCGTCTTGGCCAGGCTGGTCTTGAACGCCCGACCACGTGATTCACCCGCCTTGGCCTACCAAAGTGCTTGAATTACAATTGTGGCCCACTGTGCCCAGCAAATGCTTCTTTTCTGGAGACACTTTACTAGCGCTTACCTCTCTATGCCTACTTTCTGCTTCAAAGTTTTCAGAATGTGGCCGGTCATTGTAAACATAGATCATTCTTACGCAACTTATCAGTGAATTCTGCCATCCAGACTCACATTCTCGCAACGCATTTCAGCTCTTTAGACGACTTTGTGAGCGGCCCTGAAAAGGGCCTTTTTTGTTTTTTTGTTTTTTGAAGTTCCAGGAGACCCCGTATTCTTAGATTCAGCCACCGAAGCCATACAGAGTGCGCCCCTGACGTTTTAGAGCGTATACTACATCCATGGCTGTGACAGTTTTGCGCTTGGCGTGCTCTGTATAGGTAACAGCGTCTCGAATAACGTTCTCTAAGAAAACCTTCAGCACACCTCGAGTTTCCTCATAAATGAGACCGGAAATGCGCTTGACGCCACCGCGCCGAGCCAAACGACGAATAGCCGGCTTTGTGATGCCCTGGATGTTATCCCGGAGCACCTTACGATGGCGCTTAGCACCACCCTTCCCCAATCCTTTTCCTCCTTTGCCTCGACCAGACATGATTCCCACAGCATTGGAAGTTATGAACGCACACAGTCCCTTATATACAAACTTGGCGGACCTGATTGAAAACAATATGAGTTGGCGCGGATTTTTTATTTTTCAAATTAGGTCACCAAGTGGGTGGAGCAAGAAAACTTTCATTAAGAGTTCATTGTTTTGATTGGCCAGTGAGACTTCGCTCTTCGTGGGACTGGAAGGGTCTCTACAAGCTGAATGCACTGCATTCCTGTCAGCTTAATGACGCTAAGCACAGCCCCATTCCAAATTTCTATTTCCACTTAATAACTAATAAATTACGCAATAGTTTATTGAGAAAAGTACAAATAATGTTTAAAGGAGGTCAGATTTATAGGTCAAGGGACTTAACCTCCCAATCATTTCAATATTTTTATTTATACCAGGCATTTTGATGGTCTTCTCTGTGCTGGACAAAGTATGAGTTTGGCTATGAAGTTTCACTCCTAAAGATCCTATGTTTGAGAAGGCAAAAAGATAGCCAAATAATTGCAAATTAAAACCTCATAAGTGCAAACTTCTTCCTCGTCACCTTCCCTCTCGATTCAAATATTTATTGAATGACTCATTTTTGTGCAAAAGTCTGTGAGAGAGATAGGGAACATAAACTTAAGTCTGGAAAAAATGTTTTCCCGGGACGCTCTTCCTGGCCTGCTGTGCCTGTCTGGTGTGCCTGAAATTCCAAACACTCTTCCCTTCCCACCATTTTTAATCCCCTTTCAACTTGCTCCAGCTTTAGAGAAAAGAACATACGTTTTGTACAGTTGGGGATTAATTGAAGTGTAGGGCTAATACTTGATTAAGGTCATTACAAAGTCTACAGGGTCTTCCTCTGGGAGGTTTTCGTGATAAGATTATTGGTGTTAAAATAAGGCTAATCCCCTTGAAAAATAAATAGAATAGCAGAATTAGGTCTGAATGTGATTTGAAGAAAGGGACTTCTCAATTCAAAATTTTATTCTTAGCTTCCTGCCAGAGCTTTCCAGAATGCCCATAAGATCCGCTTTTGTTTAAAAAACAAAAACCCAACCCCACTCATCTCTCCTGGTTAATAAATGAATATCCATTGGTAATATTTATAATGAACTGTGGCCTGTGAGAGACATCATATAGTAACCTCAGACTTGCTCGCATGAAAAGAAATCCAGAAATGGAGAATAAAGACCCAGGAAAGGCCAGAATGTTCTAAATGTCATATTGTTTCTATCACTTCTGAAATAATTGATTACATTCTTCTGACCCAAATTGAGTTATTAGATTTTTCCACTCACTATCCACATGCCATAACACATACCTTATAACTAGAGACTTAGCTAGGAACAAATGTCAAACATTACAGAGAAAAAGTGCAGAGTCCGAGATCATAAGTAAAACTCTGAAATCTCAACATGCCTTTTAATTCATGAAAATAAAAAATATAGCAGCATATGCAATATGACAATTCTCTGAAAACATACCTCATGTGAACTACCCTGGAACTCATCTCGCCAAGTGCCATCTTCATTTAAACCAGAGGTCTGGGATGCCTTTTCTTTATTTTGCCTATTATATTATTTATAAAACCCCATTTTTATTTTGATACTTTGTTTACTTTCTATTTCCTGCTCCTAATATCTCCTTTCTAAACTTTTCTCAATGACAGTGACTCAAAAACAATGAATGTTAGAACAAATATTAAAGGGTGTATATATATATATTTAAAATGGATTCTTCCACTCTGGGAAGAATTCAGGCATACTCAATCTTAAAATACCCATTTTTCTGGTTTATTTTTTTCTGAATTAAACTATCATTGCCATTGGCACATCTTTGGTTCTGTAGCATAACCTATGTCTCTGCTGGTTTTTTTTTTTTTTTACCTCCACTCCTTACTATTCTAGGAAAAAATCTCTGCTTTTTCTTTTCAGTTTAAATTATTTTACTAAAGGTTTCTTAACTTGAACTTCCTAGGCTTGCTGTACTTGTGTGGGCACTCTCCCATAAACAGTATTAATACATTTTGATTTGTTAAAAATAAAGATATTTCGACAGAAAATTTCTTTTCTTTTTCTTTTCTTGTTTTTTGTTTTGTTTTGTTTTTGTTTTCCCAGACTGGAATGCAGTGGCACCATGATGGCTCATGGTAGCTACACTTCCCTGGGCTCAAGTGATCCTCCCACCTCAGCCTCCCAAGTAGCTGGGACTACAGTTGTGCACGACCACACCTGACTAATTTTGTGTATTTTGTAGAGATGGGCTTTCCCTATGTTGTCCAGGCTGGTTTTGAACTCCTGGGCTTAAGCGATCTGCCCACCTTGTCCTCCCAAAATGCTAGGATTACTGGCGTGAGCCATCAGGTCTGGCTGGAAAGATAATTTTTAACATTATCCTCTCTTAAACATTTGTTTCAAAAATTTTACAAACATGATAGTAATTAAATATGATTTTCAAAATTCCCTTGAATACTTCCTTAATAGCACACAGAAAGCACAAAGTATTTTATACTTGTTTTAATGATGAAATTGTGAACCCAAACTTACACTTCTTTGTGTAACATTATACTCATACTTAAAACAGATGCCCTCATATAAATAGTAAATCTCTTGGGGCAGTAGTGAAGTTGGTTATTTGCTGTTTTATGGAAGTGCCATTCGGCCGGGCGCGGTGGCTCACGCCTGTAATCCCAGCACTTTGGGAGGCCGGAGTAGGCGGATCACGAGGTCAGGAGTTTGAGACCAGCCTGACCAAAATGGTGAAACCCCGTCTCTACTAAATATACAAAATTTAGCCGGACGTGGTATCGTGTGCCTGTGGTCCCACCTACATGTGAGGCTGGGGCAGAAGAAGCACTTGAACCCGGGAGGCGGAGGTTGCAGTGAACCGAGATCGCGCCATTGCATTCCAGCCTGGGCAACAAGGCAAGGCTCCGTCTAAAAAAAAAAAAAAAAGTGCCCATGTGGTGACTCAGTTTAAGGAATAAATCAAGGATATTTAACTCAATAGACTAACGTTAGCTTACCTGACTTGCACTGAAAGTTAAACAAATATTGGTACTTATACCTCTGCCCCCAAAGTATGAATTAAAGACTCCAAAATTCTTTTTAGAATCTTCAGGGTAAAAGTTAGAATTTGATTTAAAAAATAAAAATAAAAAAATACTTTGTATCTAAATCTAGTGTGTAAAATAACTTGGTGGATGATGCTTCAAGGCTACCCATCCCCACATTTCTTCCTGAATGACAAAAAGAATAAATGAATATGTGAATTCAAAAGTTAGAAATCTGGCCAGGGATGGTGTCTCACGCCTGATAAACCTTTCGGACACTGAGGCGGGTGGATCACCGGGGCTCCGGAGTTCAAGACCAGCCTGGGCAACATAGCCAGAACTCGTTTCAATAAATAACAGAAAAACATGAGCCAGGCGTGGTGGTCCCAGCTACTCGGGAGGCTGAGGTGAGAGGATCACTTGAGTTCAGGAGGTTGAGACTGCAGTGAGCCATGGTGGCACTACTGCATACCAGCCTTGGTGTCAGACTGAGACCTGTCTTAACAATAACAAAACAAGTTAAAAATTTGGCCAGGAGCAGTGGTTCACACCTGTAATCCCAGCACTTTGGGAGGCCGAGGAGGGCGGCTCATTTGAGGTCAGGAGTTCGAGACCAGCCTGGCCAACATGGTGAAACTCCATCTCTACTAAAAATACAAAAAAATTAGGCATATATGGTGGTGTGTGCCTGTAGTCTCAGCTGCTTAGGAGGCTGAGGCAGTAAAATCGCTTGAACCCAGTAGGCAGAGGTTGCAGTGAGCTGAGATCATGCCACTGCATTCCAGCCTGGGTGACAGAGTGAGACTCTGTCTCAAGAAAGAAAAAAAAAAAAATTCTGTATGAATGGAACAAAACATCCTTAAATTTTAAAATACATCTAAAAGATATTTCAAAATATTTAGGAAAAAAATCATAGGGATCAGGCAAATTCTGAGATTCCTTTTTCCCTGCAGTAAACATTAGGAGTGCTGCTATTCCTAAAAAGATGGTAACAGTTGCCACACCATATGTTTCCTTGGCTCAGACAAGGTTATGTAGTTGTTATTCCAGAATGGCTAGAATAAAAATCTAGCACAATCATCTTCTTCAGTAAGTTAACTAACGTTTCTGTGCCTTGGTTTCATAACAGCAACATAAGGATAACAGAATAGAAGTCATTATTCCTGCCTATCTCATAAGATTCTTTGAAGGAATTAAATTAAGATTCAGAACAGAGCCTAATATCTAGTAAGTAATAATAATTGGCTGGAAAAAATAGTTTTTTTAATTATATATATTCATGGGGTACAAGTACAATTTTGCTACATTGATATATTACACTGTGGTGAAATCAGGGCCTTCAATCCATACCGGAAAAAAAAAGTCTTTGAAAATATTTCTGCCATGGAAAACTTTTAATATACAAATTCATTCATCCAAGAAATAGAAAATATATAAGTATCCACCCCAAATCTACCATATCTATCTCTTCTACACCTTAAACAATTACTCAGAAATAGAATGCTTGAGATACCAGAATGCATGCATATCAAGTAATAAATGTATGCAGGATGTCAAGGCATCCTAGGCTTTCAAATAAAATTGTCATACAAAATACTTTAATATTGTATTAACATTCTACGTGTTACAGTGTAGATCACCGATGCAAAAAAGGAAAAGAACACATTATACCCAAAGCCTACAGAGAGAATCGCAATTAAAAATATCAGCCTGTATGTGAAAATCTTTAATTTGAAAGTCAGTAATATTTAAGTGATGGTCATGGTTAAATCAGATTGTGGTTTGAAAAATGTTCGTTTAAAACTGATAGCTTATGAGAAATTTGGGGATTTTAGAGACAGTGTTTTGTTTTTAAATGTGTGTGAGTTTATGAATAATGTTTTATACAATACTGATAGTACTATAAGATGACATTATTATAATACAACATAAGAATTTTGGCCTGTACCTCTCAGCAGTCCTCAATCATCTGCTGTACTTGACTGAATTCTTATCAGAGTGGTTTGTTTTCCTTCTGTTGTGTTCCCAGTTCAGGCAGCTCAGCAACGGCCTGTGATTCCAGCAATTCAAATAGCTGGTAAGTAGTTTCTTATTTGTTTTCTGAAATTGTCAGGGGCTTTTCTCTACAAGTGATTTCTAGTGCACATCCCTCCACCCACTGTTTATTCCTTTACTCTCAGGAAAACCCTCAGCTCTGCACCTCTGGTCACCGGACCACCGTGGTATGTTTACTTGTGGCCACCAGGTGTCACACTTCTCTTTACCCCCATGGTCTGTGAGTGGTTTTGCCAGAGGTGAGTAAGAAAGAATTTAAAATGAGGTCTTTGATTTTTCAAATGTAGTTGACCTTAATAATTTATTAATAAAGCCAGAAAAATTAAGCTTAAAAAACACTGAAAGAAAATGAGGACTTAAAATTTCTATTAAAAAAATTAACAGGCCACAGTTGCTGATGTTTAGTAAATATGTTACCGAAATGTGTTACTATGAAGACTGGGGTGTTTCTTGTAATCTCAGCCCAGGTGAAATAAAACCAATATAAAACAAATGCTTACCTAATTAATTAATTGTAACATATTCTTTATGAGGTAGAAGAGTAAGTGAAGCCTTATAGCACTCTGCTTTCAGTATGGTACCATATTAAGAGAGAAAGAATTTGTCATACACTTCCAGAATGGTTTGTTGGTAAAATAACCAATGTCTTACAACTTAGACGACAATGTCCCTAGTGTGAAGAAAAACAATTCGGCTAACACAGTTGAATGAAAATATTCCATAAGACAAAATGTAAAGAAATTAGAAGCAAAATAAATATCTCAAAATGACAAAGCAATTAAGTATATACACAAGATGAACAAGAACATCAATAAAATCATGCAGTATGCAATACAATGTACATTTATTAAAGTATATGCATTTTTAATGCAACAATAATACTAACAGGTAATAGACAAGTTTTTAATAGTTTATCACTGGCTAATTAAATAACAGCTTTAATTGTATTCATTTTTTAGCTTTTCTACAATGAGCATAAATGACATTTCCTTTTTTCTACATAACTTTTCTAACCAGCAAAAAAGAAAATTGTTTAAAAGAAGAGATGAGATATCTTTGCTAAAATTTAATGCCTACAAAAGAAACTTCTGAGCTGTACATGGTATCCTGAAGCATCTGCCCTTCAAGACAGAATGCTTGTACCACATTTATGCAGCCAAATGCATGTAGCAACATAAAGTAAACACATGTCATCTGGATATATATATTAAGACTCTTCTGATGGTCGGGCAGGGTGATTCATGCATGTAATCCCAGCACTTTCGGCGGCCGAGGCGGGCGGATCACGAGATCAGGAGTTCGAGACCAGCCTGGCCAACATGGTGAAACCTCGTCTCTACTAAAAATGCAAAAATTAGCCGGGCATGGTGGTACATGCCTGTAATCCCAGCTACTCGTGAGGCTGAGGCAGGAGAATCTCTTAAACCTGGGAGGCAGAGGTTACAGTGAGCTGAGATCACGCTGTTGCACTCCAGTCTGCGCAATAGAGTCTCAAAAAAAAAAAAAAAAGACTCTTTTGAACATGGTGAACTGATTTCCCAGAATCTAGCAATTCTTGAGTGCCCTGCTTAGATTTTTTTTTTTTTTTTTTTTTTTTAATGTGCACCGGAACCCCAGTGGCCCCATGACAGGGCCTGGGCATCCTCTAAGCCACTTGGTGGCTTCCATTTATCATCTCAAAATGAAAGAGTTTACTCCAGTTCATCGAGGGAAATACCACCAGAGTTCTGACTCCAGAGGCACTGGCCTAGGGAGGACAGTGTGTGTGAAGCCCAGCAGGGCCACTAGCTGTCCCCACCAATTACAGTCCTTGCGTAGGGGCCAAAGAAATGAATGCCAAAGAGAGTAACAGAGAAGCAAGGGAGTCACATTCCAGGACCTTCCTTGGGGACTTTTAAAGGAAACATGACAGCTGAGGATCAGCTGGTTGTTTTCTGCTGTTTCCCTTTATGTGATTCAAGCTCACTCAGAAGAAATACAATGAGACAATAGAAGAGCCATCTCCTTCCGTCTCTATTTACTCTAGGCATCTAAACTACCTGAATGTAGTGGTGTGTGAGATGTATCATACGGTCAGATTGACTGAGTTTGAAACCTGTTTCTATCACTGGCAAGCTGTGTGATACTCTATATTTTCGTTTTTCTTTCCTTTTGTTTTTGAGACACAGTCTCACTCTATCACTCAGGCTGGAGTGCAGTGGCGAGATCTCCGCTCACTGCAAGCTCCGCCTCCCGGGTTCACGCCATTCTCCTGCCTCAGCCTCCCCAGTAGCTGGGACTACAGGTGCCTGCTACCACGCCCAGCTAATTTTTTTGTATTTTTAGTAGAGACAGGGTTTCCTCGTGTTAGCCAGGATGGTCTGGATCTCCTGACCTCGTGAACCACCCTCCTCAGCCTCCCAAAGTGCTGGGATTACAGACGTGAGCCACCGTGCCTGGCCTACTTCACTTTCTTCATCTAAAAAAGAAATTGAGATAATAGTGCCTATCTCATAGAATTATTGTAAGAATTGCATGCAATAATGCATGTAAGTAGGTGCTCAGAAGAGTGGGACACAAAGTAAGTGCTTTTATCATCATTATCATCATCCTTATAATTTTCATTATCAGAACAAGGAGAGATCAGGGAGAAAATTATTGTTATACTTCAGGTCTGCAATATGAGAGTAGCATTCCAAATGAAGGCACCATTAAACTTTGCAAACCTGTATGACACCTTCATGCCAATTAGAAAAAGACACCTCTTTGCAACCCCTTTCAAGATATTTGCCTCCTACCTGCTAAAAACACCCATCATAATACCCACAGACAGCCATGATGCTTTTTCTGGGAAAGGTGCCTCTTCCATTCGTGCAGTGTACAGCCTACAACTCACATAACAATCAGATGAAAGAATCCCCATGGCTTGGTGACAGATGAGTTACTGGGTAACACAGAGGGATGATTCAAAGGAAAAGTAGAACAGGTCCAGAAAATGCCTAGATACATATGTAAAATTCTGGTAAGGTTATGACTAGCCATGTCCCAGGATTCAAAGCTTTTCTGACATGTTAAAATGAATCATGTAAGTCCCCCAAATTTAAGGAGTCCTCTTCCAAAAATAGGAAATGAAGACATAGGTGTATGTGTCTGAGGTGATGGAGGAAATGAAGGAAGCAGATGCAGCTTGAGGTTCATGAGAGGCAGTTCCAGGGGAGAGGTCACAGCTGGGGATCACTGGCATGCAGGAATCAGAAACCTAAATGGGGAAATATTTTTGAGGAAATGAACAGAGAAAGCTAAAAGCAAGGAGTTCTTCATGTTTAGGTTCAACTCTGTCCTGAAACATGAAGAGCTCCATAAGTACACTCCCTTTTTGAATCTCTAGTGTTGTGTCCTTCCCACGATGAGTCTGCAGGCTGCGTGTCACTCACGTTCAGCTAAGACGTAGTGCCCCATGACTCCTCCTGTGGAGACAAGAGACCCAGGAAAGAGGCATCACAAACCTAGGCATCATCTTGCTTCTTCTCTGTTCCTTATTTTCCTCATTCACCCATCTCAATTTAAACCTGGGCACTATTGGATTTCAAGAACCATTATCTCTCATCTGGGAATGCTTATTGGCTTTCAAACTGGTCTCCTCACCTCCCATCTGACTTCTTAACAACACATTCACCATATAAGGGAGATCATGGTCCTCCTTTCTTAGGATCCTTCAGTGACACTCCAGTGATCATAACCCAATATCCCAAAAGACCCTCGGACTCTGTATGAGCTGGCTTCTTTCTGTCTCTCTTTTCCCCACACCACAGACGTTCAGGGAGTAGAAATGCATAATTGGTGAGCGATAGCTATGCAAACTCGGGGTTAAGGTAGAGTAATTAGTTCTAACCTCCCAGTATGCCTTATACTCTCCTACTTGGCATGGTTGTTCCATCTGTGTAGACCTCCCATCATCTTCAACCTCACCTAATGGAATCAAGCTTTTCCTTCAAGATCCAGAAGGCTTTCTTGATCCCCAGCTGAATGTGATCATTCCTTCCTTTGACACCCTAAGCATTTGCTTCCTGCCTGCTTTAGGACCTCATGGGGTCTTCTTTAACTACATTCACTTGCTATCATTTTCATTCTCTACCAGATTTGGGTTCTGAGAATAGCCACAGTGACTTCTCAACCTCAAAGCCCCTGCACTACCTTAAACAGCTCTTGCAAAATAGTAGGTGCTCTGAAGATGTTTGTTGAATTAGAGACTTTCATTCTAGGGAGAACCATTATTTTCTGTCTCCCAAGGAGCTACTGGTGTCCCCAAAGAATATAAATAAGAAAAATGCTTCCCATGGATGTCAGATCCCCTCTGCCCCTCTTCCCACTGTGCTCTGGGGCAGAGATACTAAGAGACTTCTCCTTGTTCCTACTCACTTGAAGTCTGCCTCTTCCTTAATATTATGAACAAAATTCCAATGAACAAGATGATGACAAAAACAGCAATTCCACTGATGACTCCAATGACTAGAGTTCTAGATGGTGAGGGCTCTAAAACAGAAAAAGCAAGTTAAAGCCATTGATTGCCACCCCCAGTCCACCCCCTAACAAAGAGCAGATCCTTGTGTCACTGCCATAATTACCCCCTCAGGCACTCCTCTCAACCCCCAATAGATTTTCTCAGCTCCTGGCTCTCATCAGTCACATACCCCAGAAAGCAAGGAGGGGCTGATCCAGGCCTGGGTGCTCCACCTGGCAAGTATATCTCTGTTCTTCCCCTGGGGGTACAGTCAAGGTTATCCAGCCCTGGTAGGTCCCATCCCCATTGGGCAATACGTCTTTACGTTCGACCTCCTTGGCATCCATTGGCTGCCTATCCTTCAGCCACTTCATGGTGATGTTCTGAGGGTAGTAGTTCAGGGCCCGACATCGTAGAGTGGTCACTGAAGAGGTTACATGATGTGTCACCTTCACCAAAGGAGGCACTTGACAGGAAAGAGGAAGGATGAGGAGAGGGGATCTGTTTACCCTTGCCAGGAAGATTGGAACTTTCACTTCCTTCTATAGGTTGGAGGAAGGAAATACCCTTTTCAGAAAAAAAAAACAAGCTACAGGAGAGACACCATTTTGTGTCCTAAGATTGGGCTATAACACAGTGTCAGTTGGAGCGCAGTCAGATCAGCTTGCTCTCCTAACATGTAAATGTACATATCAGTTACCTATGTTCTTTGTTCTGATAGATAAAATTGCCTTTTATGTGCATTGAAAACGATTGAATACAGATGGTTAGTTTCACCTGGGTCAACCTAGGAGGCATTGTTATAAGAAGGGGCCTTGTAAAATAGGTAGCTTCAGTGATTATTGCTATGTTCTGTGAAATAAACTTTTAACCTAAAGCATTCTGCTACTTGATAAGTGGCCTCACTTGATATTTTGTCCTGGTATTCATATGATAGCTGACATCTCTGAATTCTCTCTTTTCTTTTTTTTTTTTTTTTTAAGATGGAGTCTCACTCTGTTGCCTAGGCTAGAGTGCAGTGGCGTGATCTCAGCTCAGTGCAACCTCTGCTTCCTGGGTTCAAGCGATTCTCCTTCCTCAGCCTCCCAATTAGCTGGGACTACAGGCACGCATGACTGCGCCCAGCTAATTTTTGTATTTTTTTAGAGACGGGTTTCACCATGTTGGTCAGACTGGTCTCGAACTCCTGACCTCATGATCCACCAGCCTTGGCCTCCAATTGCTGGGATTACAAGGATGAGTCACCGCGCCTGGCCTTGACATTTCTGAATTCTTAACAGGTATACATATACAAAGGATTATTGGTTAAATAAAAAGCAAGGGCCGCAGATACTTCCCTTTGAGCCATATGAATGGAGAAAAGAAATTAAACCCATGACTTGTGGCTGCCTCATACATCTCAATTATAAGGTAGAGACTCTAGGATTGAGAAAGTCCCTTCCCAGAATTTGGAGAGGCACACACCCTCAGCCACCTCTGAAACTCTAACCAGGGATTCCATGCCCTACATCCTCCTCCACTCTGCCACTAGAGTACGGGGGCAGAAGTGTGTTTCCACCATACCTGGCCGGTCGAAAACACCTCTCCCCAGCTCCAGCAACTGTTGCAGCTGCACAGGGCAGTCCCTCTCGAGGTAGGCTCTGTTCTGCCTGGCCCGAATCTTGTGCCTTTCCCACTCCAGCTTGGTGGGCCAGGCCCTGGGTTCTGCTGCTTTCCAATCCAGCGTGTCAGGGCAGAATTCAAGGTGGTCCTGCCCATCGTACCCGTACTTCCAGAAGCCCTCGGTACTGTTGTCCTCTTGCATTTTGCAGCCCAGGATGACCTGCAGGGTGTGGGACTCTGGAAAAATCCCCAGCCTTGTTACTGCAACCAAAGGAGTAGGTCCCTATTTCCACCATCCCCAAGGACCAAATGACCTCAGGAAGTAAATTCCTTCCCTCTTCCCTGCTCCCACAAGACATCAGATTTCCAGCTGTTTCCTTCAAGATGCATGAAAAGATGAAAAGCTCTGACAACCTCCAGAAGGTGAGGCCCCCTCTCCACATACCCTTGCTGTGGTTGTGATTTTCCATAATAGTCCAGAAGTCAACAGTGAACATGTGATCCCACCCTTTCAGACTCTGACTCAGCTGCAGCCACATCTGGCTTGAAGTTCTACCGGAAACCCATGGAGTTCGGGGCTCCACACGGCGACTCTCATGATCATAGAACACGAACAGCTGGTCGTCCACATAGCCCAAAGCTTCAAACAGGGAAAGACCAAGGTCCTGCTCTGAGGAACCCATGAAGAGGTAGTGCAGAGAGTGTGAACCTGGAGACAGAGCAACAGGCCTTCACCATGTGCAATAGGAGGGGAGTGGGATGTTGAGGCTCCACACACCTGCATCAACTCATAGCATCAGTTGTGTCTGGTCCTCATATTGTGAAGGGTGAGTTGCAGTCCCGTCTTTCTTCCATTTGACAGTCCTGGCTGCTCTCTCCTTGTGTGCCTTTCTCTGCCACACATGGCTGCCATCCCCTCACTGCCCCCAGACCCTATTCCAATACTCATGATTAGACAGACTCCACTAAAGCTGGTGGATTCTAGAAAATGTTAAGGTGTCTCTAGCTATGGTAGTTGAACTCAGGAGTTGGTGCTCAGAGCAAATTAGACCCAAATCCTGAGGAATTCATTCAGGTTTTTTGTTTGTTTGTTTTTGAGACTGAGTCTCACTCTGTTGCCCAGGCTGGAGTGCAGTGGCACAATCTCAGCTCACTGCAACCTGCACCTCCTGGATTCAAGGGATTCTCCTTCCTAAGCCTCCTGAAAACCTGGGACTATAGGCATGTGCCACCACACCAGGCTAATTTTTGTATTTTTAGTAGACATGGGGTTTCACCATGTTAGCCAAGCTTGTCTCAAACTCCTGACCTCAAGTGATCGGCCTGCCTCAGCCTCCCAAAGCGCTGGGATTACAGGAGTGAGCCACCGTGCCCAGCCTTGGCCCTGAATTCTTACACTGAACTGCCTATATGGCCTCACCACTTGGATGCCTGACTGGAATCTCAAACTTAGCATGTCCAAATCCAGATCCTTGATTTACCCCAAACTGCTCTTTCCTCTGCCTTCACCATCTCAGAAATGGCATTGCCAATTACCCCACTGCTCAGGCCAATAAAATTAAAATAAAGAACAAAGTCAACTTTAACTCTTCTCTTTTTTCAGGGGATGGAGGGAGACAGGATCTTGCTCTGTCATCTAGGCTGAAGTATAGTGGCACAATCATGGCTCACTGCAGCCTCAACTTCCTGGGCTCAAGCAATCCCCCACACCTCAGCCTCCCTAGTAGCTAGGACCACAGGTGCATGCCACCACACCCGGCTAATTTTTGTATTTTTTGTAGAGAAGGGGTTTTGCCATGTTGCCCAGGCTGGTCTTGAACTCCTGAGCTCAAGAATCTGCCCTCCTTGGCCTACTCCTTGGCATGAGCTACCACACCCAGCTAATTCTTCTCTTTCTCTCACACAACATAGAATCCTTCAGCAACTTCCTTCAGAATATATTCAGGAGACAACGGTTTCTCACTCCCTTTTATGTTCCCACCCAGCCCACTCCACCATCTCTTGTGTGGACTGTGTAACAGCTTCCTGGATGGGCTCCCTGCTTTTACTGTTGCTCCCTTCATTCTGCTTTCCACATAGTAGCCAGAGCAATCTTTTTAAAGCCTGTGACAGATCACTGTTACTCCTTGGCTAGAATTCACACCATAGCCTACAGGCACCTGCACGACCTTGTTTGTGGCTCCTCTTCTGAGCCCATTACCTACTTCTTGGCCTCTAACCCCCAGCACTACTTGTTTTTTTTTCAACCCGAGCTTCTTAACCAGGAGTTTGTCTCCTAGGTGACATGTGGCAAAGTTTAGAGACATTTTTGGTTGTCAAGACTGGAGGAGTGCTCCTAGCACCTAGTGAGTAGGGAGGATGAGTGCTCCTAGCACCAAGTGAGTAGAGACAACAGGATACTGCTGGACATGCTACATGCAGATGGTAGTCCCTCTTCCCACCCCCAACACACACACACACACACACACACACACACACACACGAGCAGTGCTGAGAAAACCCACTTTTTAATCCAACTTGCCTGGCCCACTCAGTTTGCCTGGGAAATACTGCTCCCAGTCAATCTCATTCTTATTTCCTTCATGTCTCTGCTCAAGTGTCAGCCCCAGAGTGACTTGTCCTGACTTCTCTGCTTCTCACAAAACCCATCGTTTCCTGATGTTGCATATCTTTCTGCTCATTTGCTTATTGTCATCTCTCCCACTAGAATGCAAAATATCAAAGGGTGAAGACTTGTTTCCCTGCTCTCTCCCTTGGGCCTTGAACAGTGCAACACATGGTTGGGACTCATTTACACTTGTAAACAATGAATATTTCTGCTCAACCTGAAATTTTATTATTCAGCTTCTAATGCAGTGTGATGTTTAAGAATCATAGCTATGAAGTGGAGACATGAGCTCTGCCACCAAAGCCCAGTGTACCATTGAATAAACTTGCCGGGAAGCAGGCTGTGCATGCCTCATTCTTGTCATGTGTAAAATGTAGATACACATAGTACCAAAACTCAAAGTGCTGTGCTGAGGCCGGTGTGTGACCCACAGAACACTGTGCTAGACTACAGGGCAAAATCACTGTCAACTAAGATTAGAAGCAGCTATAGTACTTGAAATAATATCTGAAAACCTTTTTACTTATATACTTTGTAACCTGAAAAGAGTTATTTAATCTGAATTCCAGTTAACTTCTAGTAAATAAACATATTATTCCTACCTCCCTATGCCTAGTGAAAATCAAATAAGATCAGATATGAATGTAACTTACAACTGAGTGCATTGCTTACATGTTCATTATCAGTACTTTGACGTTCTTTAGAGGACTCTTAATTACACAGCACATTGCGAATCAATAAAGCCTGGCTGAAAAGAGAACTGTTCAGTTCAAACGTTGAAAACTAACATATACTCAATTTTCCAGGCAAAAGAACAATTGCCAAGAGTGGGGAAAGGCCCGAGGTAGGCCTCTCTCAGAAGCCTCCCACCCCAGAGACCTCCACCCCAGGTCTCACCAAAAGTGGGTGGAATGGTGAAGAATTCAGATCCCCAACCCCACTCTTCCGCGCCCCCACCATCCAGCGCATTCGTTCCGCGGTGGAAACCCCGTGAGGATCCTGCTGTGGGTTAGCTCAGCCTTCTCGGCAAGCATGCAGGGAAGAACTTCCTGTTTGGAGATGACTGGGGAAAAAACCGCACAGCTGACATTGGAAATAAACCCGAGATCCAGGTCCAAGGAGCCCCAGGCTTAACTCAGCTCAAGTGAGGAACTACGAGATTTATTTAAAAGCATTCTGGTTGGGGGAAGGGAGTGGGCGGTTCCAAAAGTCACTCCGAAGAGCCGGGACAGCCGGGGGAGGGGGCAGGTCCTGGGGCGAGGGACCCCCATATGCAGCTCAGTGGCAGGCATTCCCTCCCGGGGTGTGGACGCAGAAAGTAGGGAGAGGGGACTGCGGATACGGTTGAGCAGGTCCTCCAAAGTTAGCAAACTCCCAAGCGCAAAGAAAATCTAGTTTCGATTTTTCCACCCCCGCCGCGCCCCTCGTTGGCCCGCAGCCCTCGGACTCACGCAGCAAGCGCCCCTGCAGGACCGCGGTCTGCAAAAGCATCAGGAGGAGAAGCGCCGGCCTGGCTCGCGGGCCCATTTCCCCAGCTCTGACTGCACGTCCCCGTTAAGTCTCCGCTTCTTTGGTGGGGCGGGGAAACGGCGATGGCTCCAGAAGTCACCCTACAACTATTGCCTAGGCTCAGGAGATGCCCAGTAAAACTTCCTGGTGAAAAGCAATAGGTCTTCAGAACTTTAATTCTCTCTCTCCTACAGCAAAAGGTACCTGCTTGTGAAACTCTAGGTGATCCAGTGTCCCCCTTGGTTTTTAAATCCTGAAGGGATGTTGCTGATTGGGGAAAGTATCTTTGCAATGTTCTGATGTAAACTTTAGATATATAAATATTTATTATTTTCAAAATTCAATTATACATTTAAAAATTTTATCTCGACCTTAGACCAACTTGTGTCTTATTTGTTTTAGAAGTATAAAGCTTTTTCATTTTGTTTTTTGATTCAAATTAATTAAATCATAACGTTAACCAATTAGATCCTACTGAAACACCTTCCACAGCCTTCATAATTGAATTATCTGACAAGTTTTTCACAAACTTTGCAGTATTGAGATGACTTGGAAAATGATTAAACATATTGAGGCCTGCTCCTAACCCCAGACACACTGATTTAATGGGTAATTGTTAGGTAGTTAGACATTAGCAGCTGGGAAGGGAGGACAGAAGAGAACAGAAAGGCTGTCACTAAGACAGCCACTGGCTCACCTAAGTTCAGGCCCAAGACTACCCTAACGCCACCCTAAGGGATGGAGTTTATGATGAAGTCTGTGGCTAAAATATCCTGGAGAAAGAGAAAGGAGGGTACAGGTGGAAATTCCCTAAAGTGGCACATGCCCAATAACACAAAACCCTGTCCTTCATTATATTACCCATGACCATCATTATAATAGAATTTACATACAGTTTTGCCCCCCATCCTTGGGAGGCTTTTAACGAATTATAGGTAAGAACATGCGCAGTTTAATTTTAGTTTATATAGCTATAAAATTCAATCACATAACATCATCCTGTCACTCAGACACAGCCCAAACCTCAACTCCTCCCCACAAACCCCATAAAAGCACCTTAAGCTCTGTAAAGAGGTGCCGATTTCACTTTGCAGAAATCAGCCCACTCTCCCTCTGTGAGTGTATTATTATGCTTCAATAAACTTCGCTTTCAACTTGCATTTTGGTGTTAGTTTGTAGTTCTTTGCTCACTGTCACAAGAACTGAGATTGCTGGTTCAGAGCTCCGGCTCTAATAATCTCCTCAGTTAAAGGCTCCATCCCAACGCAGAATTCCCAGTAACAGTATGGGATGCCACCTCGGCAACGCGATTTTAAAAGCTTTCCTCTTCCCTCAATGAAGTTTGGGAATTATTGCCTTAGACATTTCAAACCATATAAATAAATTTAATACACCTGATTTGCTCCAAACCTTTACATATTTAGCAAATTCAACAGGTATTATTTTTGTAAGTGTGTATACAAATTTTGGCAATTCAAGAAAATCAAACTTAGGATATCAGGGCCTCAACTGTAGGCGAACAGATAAAATAACATTGGAAAAATGTAGAATATTGATGGTGGGCACATTGGGGCTGATAGTACTATTCCTTTTATTCAATTTTTGGTAACATATAATTCGCATACCATGTAATTCATCTATTTAAAATACAAAATTGGCCTGACTCAGTGGCTCATGCCTGTAATCCCAGCACTTTGGGAGGCCGAGGCAGGCAGATCACCTGAGGTCAGGAGTTCGAGACCAGCCTGGTCAACATGGTGAAACCCCATCTTTACTAAAAACACAAAAATTAGCCAGGTGTGGTGGCAGGCACCTGTAATTCCAGCTACACAAGAGGCTGAGGCAGGAGAATCGCTTGAACCTAGGAGGTGGAGGTTGCAGTGAGCTGAGATCGTGCCATCGCATGCCAGCATGGGAGACAAGTGTGAAACTTCATCTCAAAAAAAAAAAAAAAATTAGCTGGGTGTGGTGGCATGCACCTGTAATCCCAGCTACTTGGGAGGATGAGACAGGAGAATCGCTTGAACCCCAGAGACGGAGGTTGTGATGAGTCGAGATCGCGCCATTGCACTCCAGCCTGGGCAACAAGAACGAAACTCCGTCTCAAAAATAAGATAAAATAAATAAAATTAAATGCAAAAAGTAATGGATTATAATCCATTATAAATATATATATATTTATATATATATAATTTATAATATAAATTGTAAATATTATAATTATAAATATTATAATATTTACAGAGATGTGCAACCATTACCAAAATTTTACAACATTTTCTATCTCCCCAAAAAGAAACTATGTTCCCCTAATTCAGTACCCTTAATTCATCACCTCCCAGGTTCTTCCATTATCCCCCTTCTTCCCTCCCAGTCCCAGACAATCATTAATCTACTTTCTTTCTATTTGGAACATTTAGTACTCATAAACCCATATAATACATTGCTTTGCCGTGACTGGCTTCTTTCATTTAGCATAATGTTTTTATGTATGTTTTTCATGGACCAATAATATCTATTTTAAGGACATACCACAACAAATTTTATTCATTCATTCATCAGCTGATGGAGATTTGTTTGTTTCTACTTTATGACTATTGGGAATAGTGCTGCTAAAAACATTTATGTACAAGCTTTTTTGTGGACTTATGTTTTGATTTCTTTTGGTTATATATCTAGGAGTGGGTTTGCTGGGTCATATGGTAACTTTGTTTAACCTTTTGAGGAATAGCCACATTCTTTTCCAAAGTAAGCATTTTACCCTCCTATCAGCAGTGTATGAGAGTTCTGATTTCTCTCCATCTTTGCCTGGGTTTTTGAATCAGGGCCCCAGATAGAACAAAAATGTGGTTATTCAGTTGTTTCACCATCACTTGTTGAGAAGACTTTTTTCATTGAAGTGTTTTGGCACGCTTATCAAAAATCTATCTACCATAAATGTGAGAGTTTATTTCTGGAGTCCCAATTTTATCCCATTATGCTATAATCCTATTTTTTTTTTTTTTTTTTTTTTTTTTTTTGACAGAGTCTCACTCTGTAGCCCAGGCTGGATTGCAGTGGCGTGATCCTGGCTCACTGCAACCTCCGCCTCCCGGGTTCAAGTGATTCTTCTGCCTCAGCCTCCCAAGCAGCTGGGATTACAGTTACCTGCCGCCATGCCTGGCCAATTTTTGTATTTTTAGTAGAGGTGGGGTTTCACCATGTTGGTCAGGCTGGTCTGGAAGTCCTGACCTCAGGTGATCTGTCCACTTCAGCCTCCCAAAGTGCTGGGATTACAGGTGTGAGCCACCACACCCAGACTGTAATCCTGTCTTTATGTCAGGACTACACTGTCTTGATTACTATAGCTTTGTAGTAAGTTGAATTCAAGAACTTTCTCAACTTCAAATATGATCTTGTTTTGGAAGACTATATCAGCTATTCTCATTCTGCTGAATTTCCATAGGAATTTTAGGATCTATTATCAATGTCTATTCTATTTTTGTATATGTTTTAATATTTTCATAAGAATACATTTAATTTTTTTTTTTTTTAAGAAAAATAGTAAAAGTCAGAACACTGGGGGTCAGGCGCATTTAACAGGCAGAAGAAGGATAAAAGGCCGGGCGCGGTGGCTCAAGCCTGTAATCCCAGCGCTTTGGGAGGCCGAGGCGGGTGGATCATGAGGTCAGGAGATCGAGACCATCCTGGCTAACATGGTGAAACCCCGTCTCTACTAAAAAATACAAAAAACTAGCCGGGCGAGGTGGTGGGCGCCTGTAGTCCCAGCTACTGGGAGGCTGAGGCCGGAGAATGGCGTAAACCCAGGAGGCGGAGCTTGCAGTGAGCTGAGATCCGGCCACTGCACTCCAGCCTGGGTGACACAGCGAGACTCCGTCTCAAAAAAAAAAAAAAAAAAAAAGAAGAAGGATAAAAACTCATCATATAAACAAAAAAGAAATGACCAACCATATTCTGGAAGCCATGGAGTGGTTATTGGTACCAAAAGCTGCAGAGAAATGTTGTCAGATATACCTGAAAATTGTCCATTGTATTTGGACATTAAGAGACTTAGAAGACTTAAGCCATAGATTGCTCAGTGAGACCCCAAGGTTAAATGGTCTGAATGTGAATAGACCATTTCACCTTCAAGAGAGCAGGTAGGAAGCTATAAATCCAGGTCTGAAAAGTTGACTGAACTGGTAAGGAAGAAACTCTCTCATCTTGAGCCACTCTACCCTGGCTCCACCTTCTGCTGCAAGCACACAGAAATGCTGAAATTCAACAGTCACAAAGCCTAGTAAGCTGGAAATGACACAAATTACTCCTGGGAAAGTCAAATTCAGAATTAGGCCATATTTGTTGGGGTTCAGATTTCCATGTACACTTGGGAAAGGGTTTAGCATATAGGCACATGCATGAAGGGAACAGGTATAGGGCTGTGTTCACAAGGTCAAGAGTTGAAGGCCAGGCATGGTGGCTCTTGCCTGTAATCCCAGCACTTTGGGAGGCTGAGGCAGGAGGATGGCTTGAGTCCAGGAATTTAAGACCAGTCTGGGAAACATAGGGAGACCCTGTCTCCACAAAAAAATTAAAAAATAAAATTAATCAGGTGTGGTGGCACACACTTGTGGTCCCAGCCACTTAGGAGGCTGGGAGGATCACTTAAGCCTGGGACATTGAGGCTGCAGTGAGCCATGATAGTAGTAGTGAGCTACTGCACACCAGTCTGAGTGGCAGAATGAGACCCTGTCTCAAAAAAAAGAGCAGTATCCACACCCCAGGAAAGTGGTTGAAGATCTGCTTTTCTCTACAAACCTAATACAGAATAGAGTGACAAATGTGTGTTGTGGAAAAAAATCGGTTGAGAGCTACGTAGATGCAAAACAATACATCCCCACATAACACTTGTTAATCATCCTTTTCCACCCACTTATGGGATGAATTGCATCTCCCCAAAAGATATTCTGTCCTAATCCTCAGTACCTGAGAACATGATCTTATCTGGAATAGGGTGAGTTAACTGGTTAAGAAGAGATTATAGTGGAATAGGGTGAGTCCTCCAACCAATGACTGGTATCCTCACAGACATAGAGGCACAATGGCCAGCTAGAGATGGAGGCAGAGATTGGAGTTATGCTGCCACAAACCAAGGAACACAGGAAGCTGCTGGAAGTGGAAACAGGCAAGAAAGAATCCTCTCCCGGAGGCTACAGAGGGATCTTGACCTTGATAATACCTTGATCTCAACTGGCCTACATAACTGTGAGAAA